GATCGGGTGGCTGGCTCGAGTGCTAGCTGGGTGCTGGCAGGCTTGCACCTGGCACGGGCATCGTAGTCATCCCGTGCCCCGTTAAGGGGTCCGGGACTGGGAGGGGGCAATAGAGTTTCCCTGGTGTTGGCCAGAGTGGCCACCAGGGAAAGCTGGGGAGGGCTAGCCTCCCACTAGTTCGAATTAAGGGGCTACACACCCCTTAATTCGAACTAGCTTGTTCGAACTAGGCTTAATCCTCGTAAAATGAGGTTTTCCTAGTTCGAACTAAGCGCTCCGCTAGTTCGAATTAAGTTCGAACTAGTGGAGCGCTAGTGTAGCGCCTATGAAAGTTAGTTCGAACTAACGTCTGTTAGTTCGAACTAACTCTGTAGTGTAGACATACCCATAGTTATTAAGTTTGACAAGCCGTACAAACAATTACTATACAATTTAAAATATTTAAGATTTAAAATCTAAAGCAATTAATTCAATGCAAAAGCAAGTTATAGAAGATTATTATAATACAATAATTAAGCCTAGTTCACTTACACTTCACCTGTATGCTACCTATAGTGCCAGAAATGAGGTCAGGGTTTCTTTGTTTCCCACGTGTCGGAATACCAGGCACTGGGCGCGCCAGTGTGAAGGGGTCCATTCCTTCTTGTTACATCGAAAGCAGGATCTATGGGTCAATCCTGCTTATTCCCTCCCACTTATTGTTCTTACTAAACCCAATTTATAGCAAAGCAAGACTTGGTCATTCTAGTAATATCTACTAATCAACTACATTTTACATAAGATACCTGTTATGGCAATATCTAGGATGCATTTTGCTGTGCCAAAACGTTGCAAAAGTGCTTAATTAATAGGTGTAGGTTTTTTTGGCCGTGTCTTGAATTTTTCTCTTATAAAAAATGGGATGTACTAGTACCAGGTTGTTTTTGGTCGTCTTGTCCTAGTCTCACTGTCCTGTATAAGTTACGCATAATTGGGCAAGCACTCCTGACTTTCCCCCACCCTTTTTGGCCTGATCTGCGTGAATCAGGCCTACGGTGGCTGTTTTAGAAATTCATACTTTGGACAAGGCTGGGACAAAGTGTAGCACTGCAGACATTGTTGGTCTGGTCACAGGAGGGCTGTCCAGGCTCCCCTACAGTAGCCTGATTTGTTTTTCCTAGAGAAGGGAGTATTGGAGCACTGATGCCGCTAGCAACTGGTAAAGACAACCTGGGATGCCCAACCCATTCCTTGCCTTGGTAGACAACATCATCATTCTGCACTGAGACAATGGGCACACTACTATGTTCAGAAGATTCTGGCCAACTCTCCTGGACAAGCCAGTTGGCTTTCCATACCTAAGCTATTTAATAACAGTGCCCTGCCCTGCTTGCTTAGGAATCTTGAACTCACACCTGTTTTTGTACTAGGAGTTGTTTCAGTTGGAAGCATAAACTAACCACCAGCCAAGATCATGCTGAATAATTTATTTTTCATGATGTGGTAATATAAGGAAAAGAAACCTGGGATGAGCAAATATTCTGGGACTCTATTTGTATAGTATTTCAAGTCCTTGGGTGACTAAAGTACACATTTTTTCCCCTCTGGGTTTGCTTGTTTGTTGTAATCTTTAAAACAATTGTAAAATCTGAGTATAGGTCATATGTACAGACAATCTGTACTGGGTAGTTCTTCTAAATTGTTGGTAGTACAGAAGTTATGAGAGAGAGTTAGGGTTTCTGGTTTTTATTATTTTAATTCTTCCCACTGACTCATCTGTAGAGTCATCTAATGTATTTGTACCTCAGTTTCCTCTCTCTGTGCATTGCCTATCACAAAGATGTTGTAAGCAGAGATGGGCTAATAACATAAAGTATTTAAGCATTCTTTGGTCTAGAATTCATGAGTCACTTTGAGGGTGCACATACAACCCCATTTAATTCATTTTCACAAACACTCATGTAATCCAAATTTTATTTTCATGGGGGGAAAATCATGAATCCTTATCCTAATATGTTTTCACACTGGCAATATTCCTTCAGCTAACATGAAAGCTTCTTGAGAAACTCAGAGTTGCAAGGAAGGCAGAGGAGCAGAAAGGACAAAAGTTTATCATAATAAAATGAGCTATATTGAGCTATTCAGGGAAGACACATAAATGTAAAGTATTATTACATATTACCTATAAAGCAGACATTAAAGCCATTGCAGGAAAATAGAAAGCATGTGATACAGTGTATCATTACAGTAAAATGCTTTTATTACTTTATAATTGTCATGTGATTTAATGGGTTTTTGTACACTTGCTACAGTACTTTCATTTACTCAGTGAATACTACTTCAAAGCTACCTATTTGCCTTACCTTTTTCTAAAATCACTAGAGTCACAGGCATTGGTACAAATTTAAAAAATTATGGGGGAGTATTTTTTTTAAAAATTTGTAAATGCTGTTTTAGGGCTTTTATTCTCTTGAGGATTTCACTGAGAATGTGGGCCTCTCATTCTAGGGAGAGTTAAGCTCTCTCTTTCAAACACTTAAGAACTTTAGGTAAATGTATCACACATGTACAGGCGGTCCCCGAGTTACGCGGATCCGACTTATGTCGGATCCGCAGTTACGAACGGGGCTCCCTGGAGGACACGGACTGCGGGACCTCGTGGTCCTGCCGCCCGTGTACTCCGGGGCTTTCTCCGCGTCTCCCTGGTCTGCAGACCAGGAAGACGTGGAGCAAAGCCGCGGGGGGGGAGCTCGGGCAGTGAGGCAGCCCAGGCGCGCCTGGGCTGCTCCACTGCCAGCTTCCCCGAGGCTTTGCAAAGCCGCATACATAACATACATACTCTTCTCAAAGGCATTTGATTTGATACCTCACAACATTTTGGATAAAAAACTTGTCAGCCTGTGGAACTCCTTGCCAGAGGATGTTGTGACAACCAGGAATTTAACAGGGTTCAAAAAAGAACTAGATAAATTCATGGACATTAGGTATATCAATGGCTATTAGCCAGGATGGGAAAGAATGGTGTTCCTAGCTTCTGTTTGTCATAGGCTGGAAATGGATGACAGGAGAGGGATCATGTGATGATTTACCTGTTCTGTTCACTCCTTCTGGGACATCTGGCATTGGCCACTCTTTGTACACAGGATACTGGGCTCGATGGTCCTTTGGTCTGACCCAGTATAGCTGTTCTTATGGAAACTAAAATGAGCTTCTAATATAATACTGTAGCCAAAAGAACTAATCCAACTTGGATGAATAAATGGGGATCTCAAGTAGGAGAAGAGATGTTATTTTACCTCCATGGTTAGCATAGGTGCAGTTTGTCCTGCAATAGTGTGTCCAGTTCTGGTACCCACAATTCAGAAGGGATTTTGACAAATTGGAGAGGATTCAGAGAATGATTAAAGAATTAGAAAACATGCCTTATAGTACTAGGTTTAAGCTACTTATCTTAACAATGGGAAGGTTTAAGAGGTGATGTAATTACAGTCAATAAGAATCTACGAATGGAACATACATTTGATAGTGGACTCTTCAATCTAGCAGAGAAAGATATAACATGATCCAACAGCTGGAAGTTGAAGGTAGATGTATTCAGACTGGAAATAAGATATACATTTGACAGTGAGTAATTAATCATTGGAACAACTTACAATGGATAATGTTGACTCTTCATCACTGCCAAAAAAAGGGATTTTTTTTCCTAAAAAATAAGCTTTAGGAATTATTTTGGGAAGGATCTATTGTTGTGTTGCAATAGATCAAATTAAAATGAGAACAGACCACATTGCATACTTACCATGCTGTGGTATTTAATTTATACTGGAGTGAACTTGTGTCAACAAGCTGAAAAAATTATAAGTGCATTTTCAAGCTGTAACTTACATTAAGTGGTAAGATAAAATATCTCATTAAGATGATGTTGCACAAATAACAAGTACAGTAATGCTTATAAAAATGCAGAATTTTGCTGCAGTAGACATATCTTCTGTCAGGAAAGACACCAAGCAAAATTCACAGAAATAAATGCTGAATAGTAAACTCTTTGACATGGAGATAAACGAAAGCAGGCAGAGAAATAGATAGATGTCCTAAAAAAAAACACCTCACTCACAATGCTTTAAGTGGCATCCTACAGGACACTACACAGCATGCAAGTCAGCTAGGTTACTCAGAGACATTGGATACAAAAAGCTTTGACATCTTCTTAGTCAACGAGGGCTGTGTCTAGACTGGCCAGTTTTTCCAGAAAATCAGACGCTTTTCCGGAAAAACTTGCCAGCTGTCTACACTGGCCACTTGAATTTGCGCAAAAGAACTGACTTCCTACTGTAAGAAATCAGTGCTTCTTGCGGAAATACTATTCTGCTCCCGTTCAGGCAAAAGTCCCTTTTGCGCAAAGCTTTTGCGCAAAAGGGCCAGTGTAGATAGCTCAGATTTGTTTTCTGCAAAAAAGCCCCGATTGTGAAAATGGCGATCGGGGCTTTTTTGCGGAAAAGTGGATCTAGATTGGCACGGACGTTTTTCCACAAAAAGTGCTTTTGCGGAAAAGCGTCCATGCCAATCTAGATGCTCTGTTCCAAAAATGCTTTTAACAGAAAACTTTTCTGTTAAAAGCATTTCCGGAAAATCATGCCAATCTAGGCGCAGCCAAGGTGAATAAGCTGAAAGCAAGGTTAATGAGTTCTATTGCATTTGCCTATTTAACTTGTCAGTCAAGAAATGGCCTGACAAGGCCACAAAATGTCTTGTCAAATCAGTCATCTTCAATGTGCAGGGAAACAAAACTAACAGATAAATTCAGGGACAAGAAATGCTTTACTTTCTTGTTTTCAGTTCTAAATGTGCAATAAAAAGATTACAAAACTGCCCAATTCATTAGGTTTATCCTAAGTATTTTATTAAAGTCCTGTCTGAGGACACTTGGTTTAGTGGGATATTGTTAGGTAATGTTTGTTGACCAAACAATCCTAGGGAAAACAATATTTGCTGTACTGGCTAAAAATCACCAAAGTAAAACTAAGATTTAAGAGAAAATGTGCAAATTCAGCAGCTGCCTAAAGACAAAATCAACTAATTTCTTCTCTGAAGTCCCAATCTTTCCCCTTTTCAGAACTTTGCATTGACTTGCACAGGATCACATTTTGGCTTTAAAATGAAACGCTACCCTATAGAAACTGGGAAAAGCCATTTTTGTCTTGATAATATCTTCCATGTCATAGATATTAAAAACAATGAGCTACGGGTTGCTAACTAGGATGTAAATGTGTTGATTTTAAATGTAAAAATGCCAACAGTGCTACAATAATCCATTACTAATGCTGTTTTGCCAGGTCACCATGAAATTCAGGATCCACGAATAGGTTTTGATGTGGCTTCCTCTCTTCCTCTGTGGCATGATGCCACTGTCATGTAACTTGAGAACACTGTGGCATGTTGTGCCTTGATGACTTTTCAAAGTAACACACTCACCGTGGCACAGTTTGTTATTTTTGTACACGGCTCGGGGCCATCACACCTTTTTGCTGGAACTGTGCAGTGCAACAGTCCATTGCAATGCGATGCCCGGATCAACCTTCACGGTGTCCCCGCAGCATCATAATGGGTGTGTCTAGACTGCAGGCTTCTTTCGAAAGAGGCTCTTTCGAAAGAGCCTCTTTCGAAAGAAGCCTGCAGTCTAGACACACCCATTATGATGCTGCGGGGACACCGTGAAGGTTGATCCGGGCATCGCATTGCAATGGACTGTTGCACTGCACAGTTCCAGCAAAAAGGTGTGATGGCCCCGAGCCGTGTACAAAAATAACAAACTGTGCCACGGTGAGTGTGTTACTTTGAAAAGTCATCAAGGCACAACATGCCACAGTGTTCTCAAGTTACATGACAGTGGCATCATGCCACAGAGGAAGAGAGGAAGCCACATCAAAACCTATTCGTGGATCCTGAATTTCATGGTGCACTCTGGATGAGAAATATCTATGTGATGCAGTGATGCTGTAGACAAGGCATGACACTTCAGCGGAGAAGGGCTGAGATCTTGAAACCAGCCACATTTGGCTCTGCGGGCCTGCTGCTGTGGGAGCGACAACTGAAAATCGAGGGCGGGGCAGGATGTGCGGTGAGGGACTCACTGTTCATCCCTCGGGGAAGATACACGTGGGTGCTTCTCTGTCTTAGGGACTTGACGTGGGAGAGGAGGAGGCATCATGAGGTTGCCAGAGGTGGGCAGGCGCTGAACTTGCGGGTGCATGTGCGGGGTGTGCTAGCTACCTGCCTTCCACTAATGGGGGGGAGGGGACGGCCCAGGCCCCGGCCGCAGGCCCAGACTGCAGGGGTGTGCGGTGGGAAGGGCGCCCCGCCCACGCTTGGGCGGCTGCTCCCGGGATTGGCAGCGGCGCGGCCCCAGGAAGCGCGACGGCAGCAGGAAGCGAGTCGGCCGGAAGA